GCTGCTGAGCTGGAAAATTGTGATCCTTTGCCTGGCTTCCAAATCCACTTGGGTTCCCAGAATAGCCACTAATTAGGGGAAAGAGGCCCACCTAGAGTTCCCAAGCTAAGCTACTGAACACAGAGCCTGAGCCAACACTCACTGCCAGAGAGCCAGAAGGCCATGGTGTCTCCATCCATGGCAGAGAGGTGGTGCAGAGAGACCAGTAGCGCCCCACATGAGTGTCTCGCCATAGGTGCAGCGAGTTCTTAGACATACCTTGTGGTTTCTTCGTCTAGGAACATGTAATTTGGACAGACAAACGTGACAGCTGGAAGAACATCCATCGTAATTCCCTGCGGTGTGGAATAAGAATCGTCATGGTGAGAATAAAGTGCAAGCCCCTGAAGCTGCCCGCATAGCACCACATGCCAGGTGAAACAGCGGAGACTCGTCCTTAAAGACTTAAGGGAGATGGGAGTGATGTGCCCCATTATACTGTCCAGGCCCGGGTCCTGGATAGATAAGATGGACCTTTGCCATCCTCGAACTACTGCAAACATCAGCAACAACAGTCATGAATACAGACAGATAAGCTGACATCACTGGAACAGATGAGCACAACCTCTGATACACGCTGACCTAATGAAAACGCGTTTTCCATTCTGTCGAGGAGAAGGATCGGAAAGAGTTCTCACCCAGCCAGAACAGACCGCAGTACACGTTCAAACAAGACATGTTTGGAATCGGTGTCAAAGCACCTGTGGTATCCAGGGACGTCAGACTGTCTGCACAGGCCCAAGAGGAGACGTACAGGGAGGACCCCTAGGCTGGCAAGCTCTTTCTTATAGGGCCAGATAGGAAATAGTTTCGGCTTAGCAAGGCAAGCCTGCCTTAAGAGGCAAAGTCAAGGGAGGGAGGTAGATTCTCTGGGAAGAATTTTATGGTTGCTGTTGGCACACGTCTGTAATGACAGCACTTGAGAGATCGAGAGGATTGGAAGTACAAGGTCAGCCTGGGCTCCATAGTAACACTCTCTCCCTCAAAATAATTACAATTTTATGTAGTAAGATTTTTTTTCACTGGGCCACAAATAACAACAAGACTTATTAATTATGAATTAATGAAAGCTTGGCCTTTAGCTTAGGCTTGTTTTCAAACTTAATTAACCCATATTTTTATTGATCTACATTCTACCATGTGGCTTTTACTTCTATCCCATTCTGTGTATATGACATGTTCCATGTCTGGCTGGCATCTTTCACCTGCCTAGATTCATCTCCTACTTCCTCTTTCTCTGCCCAGAAGTTTGGCCTATACCTCCTGCCTAACTATTGGCTTCTCGGCGCTTTATTAAACCAATCACAGCAATATATCTTCACCCAGTGTACAAATATCTCACAACAATTAAAAAATATAAAAATTGTTTTTTGTGAGCCAGGCAGTGGTGGCGCACGCCTTTAATCCCAACACTCGGGAGGCAGAGCCAGGCGGATCTCTGTGAGTTCAAGGTCATATTGGTCTACAGAGCAAGATCCAGGACAGGCACCAAAACTACACAGAGAAACCTGTCTCAAAAAATAAAAAAAAAAATTGTTTTTTGTTTGTTTTGTTTGAGACAGGGTCTCATATAACTCAGACTGGCTTCAAACCATATAGGTGCTATATGGTTGGTGCTGGGGATGAAACCCAGGGCTTCTGACGTGGTAGACAACCATTCTACCACTGAACTGCAGAGCTCAGAGTGGCCTGTTGTAGAGTGATTTCCTCAGAGTTGATATATTCCGTCCTGGAGAGAAACTGAGAAGACTTAGGACATCTAAGGACATAGTGGCCCACACCTTTATCTCAGCACTTGGGAGGCAGAGGCAGGGAAATCTCTGTGAGTTCGAGGCTAGCCTGGTCTATAGAGTGAGTTCCAGGACAGCTAGGACTACAAAAAGAAACCCTGCCTCAAACAAACAAACAAACAAACAAACAAACAAAAACCTCAGGATGTAAACAACTGAGAAGCCTCAGGAAGTTCCTGAAACTGACCAGATATACAAGCCTCCTCCCTCCAAAGGTTAGACAACCAGTAAGAAGCTCTAAGGAGCATCAGACCAGCTGAGGCTGGAAAAGGCTGAGCTGCTAAACTGCCTGGAAGATATCTCTGACCTATTGAGCTGCCTCCAAGTTGTTCAGTGAATTTCAAGGTTCGCCCTTGAGTCATGCCTGTTCATGTAAGTAGCCCCTCACCCATACTCCAGTAAGTAACTCCAATAAACTCATAGGTTCACCAAACTGAACTTCAGTGGTATTGTCACTTTGTTCCTTGTCTGGAATGAATAGACATTTGTGTCACATCTCCTTAGGAAAAGTTAGCTGGAGTAGGACAATGTAGCTCAGTTGGTAGAGTGCTATCTAACATGCACAAAGCCTGGCTTCAGTTCCCACCACTCTATAAACAGCAGGGTGGTCCACATTTATAATGCCAGCACTGGGAAGATGGGCAGGAGGACCAGAAGTTGAAGATCATACTTGACTATATATGGAGTTTGAGCCTACAAGAGACTCAGACTCAAAAAAAAAAAAAGTTTTAAATAAAATATAAAATTACAGGACTAGGGATGTAGCTCCATGGTAGAGCACTTCCTAAGCATATGTGAGGCCCCGGGCCCAATCTCCAGCACCACAAAAGATAAAGTTACAGCTGCTTCTTGGCCATGTTTGGGTCTTCCTATCTGCGGGCCAAAGAAGAAAGTGAATGACCATCAGAGGTTATTGTCCCTGCTTTCCATGAGGGAAAGCCTCGTGTCAGGGACAAGAAGGATCATGTCTGGGATTCATCGGCCTGACCTGGGGGAAGAGAGGGGCTCGTGGTGTTTCTAGTCTCGTAACCGGAAGTAGGAAACTCAAACAAACTGGCCTGATACAGCAGCATGACCGAGGTTCAGCTCGCTCAGGAGTGCAGATCTAGGTCACCCCACCAGGAAGGTAACGTGGACCAGCCAAAGGGCTCCCTGGGGAGGAGAATGCAGAGCAGTAGAGGAAGGACATGACAACTACCATTTAGGGCTCATTAGAGTGATGACCACAGCTTATACCATGTATCTTCTGGTGGCCTTTTGTTTTTGTTTTTGTTTTTGTTTTTTAATTTATTTATTTATTACGTATACAGAGGACGGCGCCAGATCTCATTACAGATGGTAGTGAGCCACCATGTGGTTGCTGGGAATTGAACTCAGGACCTCTGGAAGAGCAGTCGGTGCTCTTAACCTCTGAGCCATCTCTCCAGCCCCTTGTTTGGTTTTTGAGACAATGTCTCACTGTATAGCTCTGGCTGGCTAGAACGGGCTGACCTCCACCTCACAGAGATCCACCTGTCCCTTTAATTCCATCTGTGAGATTAAAGACATTTGCCACCCAGCAAGTAATTACATTTATTTATTTGTGTGTGTGTGTGTGTGTGTGTGTGTGTGTGTGTGTGTACATATATATGTCACAGTATGAATGAGGTCTGGTTGTCTTATTTTATTCTTTGTGTGTGTGTGTGTGTGTGTGTGTGTGTGTGTGTGTGTGTGTGTGGTGTGTGTGTGTATGTGGTGCGTGTGTATGCGCACATGCAGGTGTATGCACCTGTACATGTGCTCAGGGGCCAGAGGAGGATATTGGGTGTCCTGCCTCATAATCGCTGCTTTCAGCCTAGGAGACAAGAGCCTCTCACTCAACCTTGAACTGGGCTGGTAGCCAAAGCGCCCCAGAGAGCACCCTTTTCTCCACTCTCCATGGTGCTGGGCGCTCAGGTCCTCAGGCTTGCAGAGCAAGCACTCTGACCCGCCCAGCCATCTCTCCAGCCTCTACTTGTCTTTTGGGGGGTTGTTTTTGTTAGCGATAAAAGTCTTGCTATGGAGCCCCAATTGGTTTTGAACTCCTGATTCACCCGTTTCTGCCTCCAAGTGCTGAAATTACAGGTGTGTACTACTGTCCCTGAGAATTTTTTTTTTGGGGGGGGGGCGGTTTGAGACAGGGTTTCTCTGTGTAGCTTTGGTGCCTGTCCTGGATCTCGCTCAGTAGACCAGGCTGGCCTCGAACTCACAGATATCTGCCTGGCTCTGCCTCCCGAGTGCTGGGATTAAAGGCGTGTGCCACCACTGCCCAGCTAGCTCACAGGTCACTTTGAATTGGGATTTTGTTCTGTCTTTGGAGACAGGGTTTCTCTGTGTAGCCCTGGCTGTCCTAGTACTCGCTCTACAGACCAAGCTGGCCTCAAATTCAGAGATCTGCCTGCCTCTGCCTCCTGAGTGCTGGGATTAAAGGTGTGCACCACCACACCTAGCATGAACTTGCATTTTTGAGGAGTATTGCAACTGTTAAAGATTTGAGGAATTCTTAGAGATAGACTGAACCTTCCTACTAACTGATAGGAGCCTTTTTGAAATCATGAGTGGATTATTATTGTTTGGATATGAAGAATCACCGCCCAAATGGCTCATAAATTGAGAGTTCTGTCCCTGGCTGGTAGAGCACTGATCCTCCTTGTCTCCACATTAGATTCCTGTTACTTCCCCTCTCCCTAAGACTGGGGTATCTCCAAGATGAGCTCCTTATTCCTGTTCAATGTCCAGGGGGCTTGAACTAAGCCAGATGGCAACTCTTCTACTTTATCCTTTCAACTATAACACAGGGACAGAGACCTCGGGGCAGCCAGGATCAGGAAAGGGAGCCTGGCCAGCTTCAAAGACCTGGGTTCAAACTCAGTACTGTAACCAGCTGTTAGACTCCCGGATCACTGGAACTGTCTGGGCCTCAGTTTCACCATCTGATAAATGTATACATCACCTGACACTGCACAGCAGTGGGTCATGTGACTTACACTTAGTAAGAGTCCTTGGCATGTCATTCAGTATCGACCCATCTTCTCTCCACAGCTCCGTTCCCCAAAAGTGCGCGCGCGCACGCGCACACACACACACACACACACACACACACACACACACACACACACCATGATTCCTAAGAAATGCGACTGAAACAGGTCGGGTAGCTCACAAGTTCTTTATTTCCACGTTGGCACACACATCAATACAAAGGCTGACAAGCTACAAGACTTTGAGGCACTGCAGGGCAGGGACCGAGGCCACAGCTATGGATGAGCAAAGATGTAGGAAAGGGCAGAATCCAGGGGAACTCACAGGCCACAGGAGACTGAGACACCACTGGGGGAGGGACCCCTCCACCACCCCCACTCAGGTACACTTCACGTTACACACGGCAATAGGAACAGGAGGATGAGGGACAGCAGAAAGAGCCGGGTTCGAAAGCCAACCAGGGCTGGGGAGGTCCCTTTATGTGAGCAGTTTAAGGAGTAGAGGGGGTCCTCCCAATAACTGCCTACCCTAAGGACCTGCCCCCCACCCACCCACTCACACCCATCTCAGAGCTGGGTCTGGTACCCAGCCAATCTGCCCACAGGTTGCTTCCGCCACTGGGACCCCAGGAGCCACAGCTTTGGTGCCAGTTTTGGAATGAAGGACTAGGGTTCTTTCAGCCTGTCCTAGAAGAGGGTGGAGGCTTGGGCCCAGGCCCGTCAGGACAGAGATAGGCCTGCTGGCAGACGTGAGGTCGGTTCAGAGGAAGGGAAGAAAGGGTGTGACTTAGCCAGGCAGTACAAGGAGGGGTCTCAAGCTATCTGTGGGGTCTCTGCAGGCTGCTGGGGAAGAGCAACGCCTGGAAGAGAAGAGGGGGGTGTGAACCAGGAGCCTGACCCACCTCAGACCCGGTCGGGTGTGTCAGGAGACGACAAAAAAAAACCGCCAGGGACAGTATTCAGGTCTCCCCCGGTCAGTCACAGAAATGCTGACTCCATTTACAACCTGCACAGTCTTACTGTGCTGCAGCCAGTGATATTCTACCCACTGGTGCCAGAGAGAGAGAGAGAGAGAGAGAGAGAGAGAGAGAGAGAGAGAGAGAGAGCTGGCCAGCATGAAAGAAGGCTGCCAACAAGTTAAAAACGTCAGGTGGTGCGCAGGAGCTGTGCACAGCAGTGAGCCCAGGCCATGGTCTCACTACTCCGGAGACGGACACAGGCTCAGCTCTGCTCCTGGCTGTGGGACCTTGGACAAGTCAGCTCAGCTCTCCGAACCTCGGGTTCTTTTTCTAATACAGGGTGCACGGTCACATATACCTATCCACAGGGGTGTGTAGACAAGAGGAACTATCACAAGGAAAAGACCCAGGGCCAAGTCATCTGAACTCACGGACAGCTCCTCATAGGCAGAGCCGAAAAAGCCTGCCCTCAGAGCATGGAACTCCAGGGTTTCTAGATAGGCAAAGGAGACCCTGACCCACCCTACCACCCTATAGGAGTCCCTCACTCACCCGGGGGGACTGGTCCGCCTGTGGCCCTTGCTGGCAGAGGCCTTCGTCCCAGGCCTAGGTGGCCCCAGAAGGCCCCTCTTCCTCCCTGGGACTGGGAGAGTGAGTGGCCCTCTCCTGTTCCAGCCTCTGCGAGTCCTGGGTCTGCACCCCGGGCTGCTGCTGCTCCACGATCCCGCCCCCCAGATTTTTTTGCTGCAGGGCCGGTGGGGAGTCTTGGGGGGGTAGAGGAATTAGGGATGAAGGACAGGGGAAGAAGGGTGGGCAGAGATAGGAAGTTGAGGTACCAAGGGGGCATAGAGTCCCAGCCCTGGTCCCCAGTTCAGCCCTCACCCCCCACCCCAGGAAGAAGGTGGACGGACAGCTGGACTTGTAAGCCAATTCCATATCAGTGAGCACTGAGGTAACAGCTGTAGCCGGGGGGCTGGAGGTGGCTGTGTGAATACTATGCCAAGTCCATGCAAATCAGCACGCTGAGCGGGACTGAGTTGAGGTAAGTGAGCATTTTGGGGGGGTTGGGGGGAGCTCACCTACCCTCACCTCTCACAAGGTTGATGGGCGGAAGCTTGTCCCACCGGCAGGAGGGTGCCCTCTACGGGAGCACTCACCTTTCGGGGCCCCCTTCTGCTTCTTCTGCTGTCGCTTAGCGTGGGCATCCTGCCAGCTGGACAGCTGCTGGAGGACGTACTTCATGTCCAGGTGTGAAGGGCCCAGGCCACTGGCCTCCAGGGCGGAGGCCACCACATTCATCCTCGTGGCCTCATCCAGCTCTGGTTCCACCTCCTCCCAGGCCTCGGTCTCCTCAGACGCCTGCTCTGCCTCTTCGGCAAGCCCTTCCTCAGCCGTCCCCACCTCCTCGATGGCCCCCAGCTCCTCCTCAGGCACCAGCTCCTCCGGAGCCTCGAAATCTTCAGGCGGCTTGAGATCTTGCGGCAGTGGGGGCGGTGGCACCCCCCCCTTCCCCTGCTCTCGCTCCTCCTTACAACGGATGTCGCATCTGGGCAGGAGGGAGACAGTGGGGTCTTTCCACGCCTGTCACCCACGCTGGGCTTCCGGGCACTTATCCCACTCCCCAGGGCTCTCCCACCAGGGAAATGAGGAGGACATCGCAACCCCACCCCCTGCCCTTAGCTCTCTGTGAGTTCTCCTGTCCTGGCCCAGCCTACCCACCCTCATGGTCCTCCCCAGTTCTGTCCCAGCCAGGAGTGAGGGCAAAGAGAATCATCTTCAAGGTGTCCAATACCCAACCCATGCCCCTTAGCAGGAAGGAGGGTCATCAGTACCAGACAGGTTCCATTTTCTTGTCCACTCCCCACCCTCCTGTCTAGAAAAGAACAACAGGGCTATTTCATCCCAGAGCCAGTTGTCACGGAAACGAATCCATCGAGGGCAGGCTCACATGGTTGCCCAAGGACGCAAAGGGTCCAAACTGGGACTGCGTCCCAGGTGTTCCCATTGGCTGAGCCATTCACCTCTCAGCCCGTGGTCAGGTGAAGGAAAAGAAAAGCCGTGGTCTCTACATAGAGCAGCCTTAAACCAAACAGCCGCCTAGGAGCTGTGATCTGAACGGAGAGGGGACGGCCCATTCCCCAAAACAACTTTCAGACGAGCAGCCCCCAAGAACACGCCTTCCCAGGGTTTTCCAGTCACAGAACCAGCAAGAAGCTGCTGTCTGGCTGCTGAAATGTGAAGACAAATGAGGGGGAGCCCTTAGCCAAGATTACCCCAGGTTTGATGTCTCCCACACAGACACCCCGTAAGTCCTTAACAGAGAACAGGACCTTCAGTGTACTGAGGAAGCTCACACTGCCAGGTCCCTGGGGCACAAACATAGTGAAAAGTCACAGAAGCCAGGCATGGGGGCGCACGCCTTTCATCTCAGTACTGGGGAGGCAGAGGCAGGTGTATCTCGAAGTTCGAGGCCAGCCTGATCTACAGAGCCGATTCCAGGACAGCCAGGGCTACACAGAGAAACCCAGTCCCAAAAAGACAAGAGGAAAACAAAGAAGCCTCAGGTAGAAACGACCGATCCAACAGAGTCCGCAGAGGAAGGGAGGGGCTAGGCAGTGTGAGGAGGGCCGGACAGGGAGGCAGGAGGAATGGCGGGCAAAGCAATGGAGGTCAGAGATGAGGGGTCAACCATGCCCCACTCAGAAGGGAGTTGCCACTGAGTAAACCCAACTGAGCAGAGCTGAACCAAGCCTGAGGAGCCCGGTCACGCACCTCTCCATGAAATACGCAGGGTCAGTGATGATCTTCCGTAGAGATGTTCGGAGCTCCTCAGCCAGTGTCTCTGGGAAACTCGGAAGTGCGTCCTACAACAGAGGGGAGACGTGCCACCCCCACGCTCACAGGGAAAAAAAAAAAAAAACAGCCAGCAGAGCTGAACACAGGATACACCGAGGTCAGAGGGGCATCCTCACCAGAGGCACACTGTATCCGTAGTGGGTGACGGAACCCGAGGAGCGCTGGCGCTGGCTTTTCCCATCCTCCTGGCGCTCACGAAGCCTGCTCCCATAATCCTGCACGTGGGAGCTCCCTCGCAGGCTCTGCTAGGATCCAGGGGTACCCAGTCAGGCACGCCTGCCTGCGCCCACCTTTGGCAGAGGCAAGCCCCGCCCCCTCTAGATCCAAACAAAGTGATCCTGGACAAGACCCATTCAGCCTCAAATGAGCTGCTGCCTCCCGGGCCACAAGCCAGTCAGGGTGGGGGCCAGAAAGGCTCTGCCTGCGAGTTGCTTATCTTCTGTGGAGAGCCCAGCAGTCTCCAAGGGCCTGCATCCCAGATCTGGGCCAGGGATACATGGAGCCTCACCTCTGGGTGGACTCCCTTCTCAGAAGCCAGCTGTTGCTGCAGTTTCTCAGTCTGGGCTCCATACTGGGAGGAAAAGGATGTGTCAGACAGACAGACAGACACACACACACACACACACACACACACCCTCAAGGCCTCCCACTCCTGTTTCCCCCTGCCCCAACAGTCTTCCCACATCAGGGAGTCTGGGACAGTCCTTTTAGGAGGAAGTCACATGGAACGGAAGTCCTAACGTGGGGGTCATTCAGTCTGATACCTGAGAGAGTATGGGATCCTGTGGGGGCCCGGTTAGGGACATGACTGGACAGGGTGAAATGCCTCTCTAGCTACCTCTGCTACCTACACAGGGAAGGCCTTTGGGCCTGGCAGAGCCCAGAGCTACGGAAGGCAGAGCAGGGGGAGGCGGCTGGGGTCCCGCGGAGCCTTGATAAGGGAACCGGGGTAGAACCGGGGTGGAACCGGGCTTCCACAGGGCGGCTTACAGACTGACAACGCTGTTGTAGCTTGGTGATCTCGGCCTGCAGCTGGGTGATCTCCTTCTGCTGCCGCTCGTAGCCCTCCAGCCTGAGCACCAGCACCTCCGAGAGCTCTGCCATCTGCTGGCTGGCTTCAGCTACAGGGACAAGCGCCGGTCAGCCCTGGCTGGGGGTCAGCCCTGGCTCAGGGGGGTCAGCCCTGGCTCGGGGCCTCTGCCCCGCCCCTCAGGGCTCCCACGGGGCTTTGTCATTCTTTGCTCAGGTCTTCTTCTTCAGGAACGGCTTATTAACACAGAGCAGGGACCGTGTGTGTGTGTGTGTGTGTGTGTGTGTGTGTGTGTGTGTGTGTGTGTGTGTGGTGTTGGTAAGACCTGAGCCGAGCCCACACCGAGCTCCAGTACAGTGGAGACCTCAGGCAGCTGGGAAAAGGAACTCACAATCCCGGATAGTATGGGCTACGATGAAGGAGTCAGTGTCAAGGGGACAGCAGTAGAGGAAAGGGCATCACGGGAGGAGCATCGAACAGTGCTGCAAGGCCTGGGAAGGGTTCTGGAAGGAGCCCCACCACAGAAAGAGGAAGATGCAGAGCGTGGGCAGTGACAGGGGCTGGGGCAAAGGTAGGGGGAGGGGGAGGGATGATCCTCTGATCAATGGGAAGCTGGAACCGGATTTGGTTTCCGAAAACTCATCTGGGCTGTAGGGAAAAGGCCCTGAATGGGCAGAGAGATCCCACTATGCATTATGAGGTGTCACGGGCTGGAGACATTGAGACTTGAGAGCTGTGGAAATCAGGGGGACGGAAGGCCAGGGATGATGTGCGGAGACAGCAGAAGCTAAATGCCACCCTTCTGAGTCTACACCTCGGCAGGTAAACATGAGGTCCTCAGGGGCAGACAAAGCCCAGGTTGGTGCTAGGCACAGCCCAGACCCAATATGTGACCGTGAACTCCCCTGGTCCTAAACGCCCAGACTCTGGCAGCTCCTGGCTCCCTCTGCACTGTCCCATCCACCTTCCCAGCCTGTACTGTCCCAAATAACAGACTCTAGGGACCTCTGTGGTTCCTGCAGAGCTCTATACTTTGCACAAAGCACTTGTTCAGCTAGCTAGCTCGCTCACTCTCTCCCTCCCTCCCGATCCTACTCTTCCTCCCTCCCTCCTAATCCCTCGCTTTCTCCAAAGTCTCACATAGGTGGTCATCAACACCCGACCCTCCTGTCTCTGGTGAGTGCTGGGATTCCAGGTGGGCACCACCATGCTCAGCAATGGGGCTTCACCCGATCCCCATAAAGCCCGAGATGATCAGCAGGCCATGGTTATTAATCCTCGTCCTAAAGATGGACATTCAGAGAAGCCGAGGCATCTGTCTGTGCTTACACCACCGCAAAGTCCCGGAGCCAGGACCTCAGGCCAGACCTCCAGCCTCCAAACCCTGAATTCTTTCCATCATCCCTCGGGACAGTGCCCTTCCCCGAATCACGGTGTCACGTACAAAACTGCTCCACGCACTCCAGAATGAGCATCTGCTCCTCGTCTTCCAGGTTGTCAAGGTGGGAGGCCTGGAGGAAGGGAAAGAGGAAGGGGCCAGGCTGTCACCACCCCCTGCCAAAGGGCGTGCCCTCCTCCCTGTCCTCACCTCCTCCCGCAGGTGTTCATTCTCCTCCTCCAGCAGCTTCAGCTTCTGCTGCAGGGCTTCCAGCTGTGGGCAGTGGTGCTGTGACTCCACCTTAGGGGGCCTGGTGACAGGTGGATGAGAGTCAGTGGGGGGGGGGTGGTACGGAAATGGCAGATCCCCATCCCCAAGGCTTCCCCACACTGGCTAAGGGTGGCAAGTCCCAACAGCTCTCCTGACAGGCTCTCACTGCCCATGTCCCTGTTTACAGTGAGCAACTGAGGCTCAGAGAAGGGAGGGCCCAGGCGCAAAGGCAGAACACGTACGGCTTGGGGGCACCATAAGGATGATCATGCCGCCTGTCTTGATCCCGCTTTCCTTCATGGTCCTCCTCTTCCCCCTCTTCTTCCTCCTCTTCCTCCTCCTCCTCCTCCTCAGAGTCCGAGTAGAGCTGAAGGAGGTCGTCTCGCAGGTTTACCTGCTTCCGGAGATGTAAGATCTAGGGGAACAGAGAGAAGCCACCGAGAGGTGAGGAAGGAGGCACAGGATGGGGCTAGTTTGGGGGAGGGAACGCGCCGACCCCTCCCCTTCTCCCTTGGGCACCCAGATACCTCCTCCCTGGCTGAGCCCAGCATCGTTTCCAGTTTGTTATTCTCCTCCATCAAAGCACTGTTCTGTTTCACCAGGGACTGGCCGATGCGAGCGGCTGTGCTCAGGTCTCGTTCTTTCTGCACAAGAAGAGCCACCCGCTATTGATACTTCCCCCGTGTCTGGGACCTCCCAAACAGGAGGAAGAAACAAGACCTAGGCCACAAGGAGAAAGCTTCCCCGACACCCAACTGTCTAGAGACTATTAACCAACTCTGGGGTCTGACTCAGCTTCCCATCACGGGGAAATCAGCCCAGACCAGCCCCCCTGAAAGCTACTCGCCTTCCAGGAGAGGGGCCCGCAAGGTGGCCCCCAGGCAAGCAGAAAAACAGACAAAATCCCTAAGTCCTGCAGGGCAGAGTCAATCCAGGGCTGGCCTGGAAGAGGAAGGCAGTACCCACCTCTTCCAACAAATAGAGCATCACTTTCACATCATCTTCGGTGATCTTCTTCGTGGGGGGTGGGTTAGGGCACAGTGCTGCAGAAGGAAAGGCCTGAATGCGTCAGGGAAAGGAGCCGAGGCTGCCCATAGCCCACTGTGTCCCTCACACCAAAGGTCAAGGAGCCAGGAGGCTGAGATCCACCCGGCCCCAGCACCCTCTCCATAGCTCGGATCTCAGCATTCCTGCTTCCTCAGGAGGGGCCTGGGTGCTGTAAGAGCAAAGCCATCCTCCAGGTTCAGGAACTGGACTCCTAGGACCCCTGGGTCCTTGGTTCCTAGAGATAGGAAAAATTCAAGGGAAATACAGCAGGAGACTGACTCATCATGCCTGACCCAATCGGCCGCGAAGCCAGCTCACTGGAGCCTCCTCGGTCAATAAAAACAGATGCAGTCACCCATCTTAACACCTGTTGCGTGTGACAAGAGGACCAAGGAGACTTCTTCAGCACCCAGAAGGGGGCACCTGAGCTTAAAACTGCCCCCGCCCAGAAGAGGAGGGACAGAAGCCCAGGGCCCCACCCACTCCTCCCGCCTCAGCCCTGCTCCGGGAAAGCTCGCCCCAGACCCCTGCCGCCAAGCAGTGGTCAAACGCTCCCCCTCCATCCACCCACGCAGGCTGGTCCCACGGGCTAGCGCAGGCTCAGAGCGTGCCCAGCAGCTCCCTCCGGCAGCCCCCGCCCCTCTGCTGGCACTGCGGTAGACGGGGAGGGGGCACTGAGAGTGCGCAGATCTGCCGCAGCAACAGGCGCGAAGAGGGGGCGGGGAGCGCGCAAGCCCTGGACCTGACGCACCCACAAAAATCGGGGAACCCGAGAGGGAGGAAGAGATGGGGAAAGGGAGACTTAACAGGCACCTCGGACAGTGGTCTCAAGGGGGTGGTGGAAAGGTGGGACTGAGCACCACAGGGGGGCGGGGCGCCTGAGTCAGTGGGTCCCCTCCTCCCCGGAGATGCCCAGGTAGCAGCCAGTGAGGGATCCCATAGACTCGGTTTACCTTCCTGGAGCTCTTGAATAAACGCCGCGCGCGCAGGGCCGGACACGCCAGGCCTCCGGCCGATGTACGCGGCTGGCGTCTTCCAGATTCCCTCGGCCTTTCCTTTGCCCAGGGTAGTGGCCCGGGGACCATAAGGCCCCTGGAATACGTAGCGGGTCCATGGCGCGTCCGAATTGCCGATTATCATGGACCGACAAAAGCTTCCTGTCTTGGTGCGGGATCCTGGAGCTCGCTGTCCGGACCCGGTTCCCTGCGCCGGAGCAGGTTTGGGCTCCGCCGAGGGCTCCGGGGCCGGATTGGCGGCAGGCTGGGTCGCGGGGGTCCCTGCTGCTGGGTCCCCCGACCCCGTCCCGTCCCCGGCAGTGCTCTGCACCTGTTCCTTCGGACGCATCTTGACTCCGCAGTGGGCTGCCGCAGCCGAGCTTTTATAACCTGTGCCCGGAGCGGGCTCCACTGGGCTGTACCACGCGTGGCGCTGGGGGTGGACGAAGATCAGTTACTGGTGCCGAGGACTCAGGATGGTGAGAGTGAGCGGCCAGTGGTGATGGAACAGGAAACTTAAAAATCTAAAAAGAGGGAAGAAAGAAATGAGTGAGTGCCTAGTTGGTTCTGCGGGATCGGGTTCACGGTGAAGGGCTTTTGCCTCCCTTCCATCCTCTGAGAATGGTTCTGCCCAAAGCCGCCGCTTCCCTGGACTTGGGCCGAGGGACCCCGAGCTTCTGTCTAGAAGCAGCCCCCACCGACCCCCCCACCCCGCGCGCGCGCCCGCCCGCCCCAGGCTTCCAGCTGCCTTCTCTGTTGTCGTAACCCAACATTGAATACAGACCGGGGTGACCTGCGAGTCGGGGCAGTACGCCTGTGTCTTCCCAGGTGGATGAAGCGAGAAATGCAAACTCCGGTATGGCTTTCAACATGTTGCGTGTCACCCACAGGTCCTCGCGCTCACACTCCCCGCACTTGCCCCTGGACGTCTTCCATCTTAGTGCGTTTGCTCGCTCTTTATTTCCAACCCTAATTCGCAAGGCCTACCGTCCTTGTTCTTCAGACGTTTCAGAATGAGCATCTTCTGAGGAGATCCCGCTTAAATGTTTCCCTGTGACCACTCTTCCAGACCTACACCCCCCCACACACACACACACCTCCCCAAAGCATCCGTTATCCCGAAGTCTGAAAGGATCGATGTCGGTCTTCAAGACCTATGCTCTCCAGCCCACGATGGTGTGCTCCCCAGGAAACTGGAGACTTTGGAAGGTTGCTCTAAATCCTGAATAAACTAGGCTTGGGGTGGAAGCTAAGGAGGGCAGGAGCCATTTCTATGCTTTTAGACGGGGAGACAGGCTGGAGGAGACGGGCGGCTCGTTGATTCAAGTCTCATTCTTGCTGCCTTCCATTTTCCTCCACAGTCCTCCAGTTGCCAAGCCTACTGACTTTACCTTTTTAAAAACATTTATGCCCCCCTTGAGTGCTGGGGTTAAAGGTGTGCGCCACCGCGCCCGGATTATTTTAAATGTTTGTATGTGGCGTATGAATGTGTCCGTGTCTGTGGGCAGAAGCCAGTGGTCAACATCAGGGATTTTGTTTTTGTTTTATTAAATTGCCCATTCATTTTACATACCAACATCAGTTTTGCCTATCACTTTCCACCTCATTTTTTTGAGACAAGGTCTCTCATTGAACCC